ACAACGTGAATGTACGGAAATGTCTGTGCCTGTGCATAAATACAATGTGCGATCAGTGCATCAAGAGCTCATACACGCATTATTAGCCTATAACGGACTCACGCGTGCTTACTGTATGACTCCTGTATGCCACCGCAATCGCCTTAACCTTGATTGCAGTCTTCATCCGTCAAAACTTTACTAGCGAGACTGGTTATCCAGTCGAGAAAATGTAGTTTGCGTCTCATCTGGCCATACAGTGGTATGTAAACACAGCGCGCGTGACATGTGAGGACTCGCGCTCTTCAGAGACAATCACAGAATCTGACAGAGCTCGTGATTTAAAGTGAAACACACTGGAATGAATAATTCACTTAAAACTCTCATCTGGCCATACAGCGGTGGGATGTGTTGACAATCCATTCAGCCTGTACTTCACACAGCGCGACGTGTGAGGGCTCGCGCTCGTCACTGAATATGACAGAGCTCGTGTTTTAAAGTGAAACACACTGGAATTAATAATTCACTTAAAACGCAATGCAAGTCTCTGTTCTCTCTGCAATCTCTGATGTAATCAGACATCAAACATCAAATCTGATGTTTCCTTTATATTAGCGCTGTTTTGGACGGATTGTTTAAATGCATTCGCTTACCGGACCAGTGGACTGAAAACTTTCCCGGAGTTTAGCGGCTTAAAATGATCTAATCGCAAGCAGAGAAGCAAAATCGGGTTAAAGGTTTAGAATAGAAATTGTGCTTCAGTAATTTTGCGTTAGGGTTATTTTAATTATTTTAACGCGTTAAGGATTGTAAAATGAATCACATGCGTTAACGCGTTAACGATGACAGCCCTAAAATATATATGTATATATATATATATATATATATATATATGTTTATTTAGATACTTAAGCATTGCTTTTGTTTACCCTGAAAGCGAACACAGGACCTATCATTATCAATCAGATGATGAATTGGACAGACGCTCAGAGTTACTGCAGACAGAATCACATCGATCTGGTCAGTGTGAGAAACCAGGATGAGAATCAACAGGTTGAGAAGATCAAGAATGAAAGTCAGAAATCTGATGCCTGGATCGGTCTGTAGACAAACTCAACTTCATCTGCAGCAGATATTAAGAGTGAAAGATACACAGACCTTTCATGTAAGAAAACAAGTGCTTGTGTGTTCACTTCCTTTAACTTCATTTTCATTCATCACTTTGTTAAATCATAATTTTACATATAATAATTTCAGTCTCAGCAGGCAGTCGCACCTGAGGGTTAAAAAGGCAGAAAACTTTTCCTCAGATATTTGTTAATGTAGTTCAAACTTATTTTTCAGTAAACTGTTTTTGAGCTGTAAATTTTCTAAATTGTTCTTTTGAGGGTCTGTATTTCTCCAGGTGGGTGAATTTATGTTGATGCATCAGTGTAATTCCTGTGGGTTTGTCTGCTCCATTGTAAGAGCCTCACTGGTCAGAACTGCTTAACATATTTTTAGCTTTTATAAACTTTTTCAACATGCACTTTATGTTATTTAGTAACTGCAAAATTATGAGATTCTTCTTTAATTCTGTAAGAGGTCATAAGGGCATCATATTTACTCATCATAAGAGAAAATTTTATACTGTTGTTCTTTCAGTTTAATCATGAGATAATGTACACTTTTCAAAATAAAATTAAATTAAATAGTGTAATTAAGTATCATATGAATGAATGTCTGTATTCTTATATGTGCTTTAAGAATCTCTGTATGCTGGTGTGGGTACTTCTCTCTCTCTCTCTCTCTGTCTCTCATGCCTAGACTTTAGTAGACCTAGTTGCTAGTATGTATTATCATCATATCTTTAAGAAATGCTCTTAAGCAGCTCTTGAGAAGAATATTATTTGTGTCTCAGCAGAAATACATCTGGTTTATTCTTAAAAAGGCAGAAGTGAAGATTGGGTATAAAATATTGTGTGTTTGATCCCAAACAGACAAAGATCAAAATCATGAGATGATCTGATGATGTTTTTATAGAGATAAATGTAAATGAGTGTACTGTATTATAGCGCCACCTAGAGACAAGCAGGAGTCTGTAAACTCATCTGAATCTGCTTTACTGTTTCAGATGTTCAGACACTTTTAGATCAGAATGAGAAGATCTTTGCTGTTTGGACGCTTTAATGTTCACATAATATAAATACACTCAAAAAATTATTTTTTTAAAGATTATTTACATGTAGTAACATTTATATTTTATTTCAACTTTTATGTTGAAATGGTTCATTAGGGTTCTTTATTCCCACTTTTTAGTTTTTTTCAAATCTGTAACTGTCAAAGCCTGCTTAAAATGTATTTTCTGGAGCTCAACCATCTAATAACCCTGATAGAACATGTACATCAAATAGTCTTCTATTTGACGTCTGCATTTACATCTGCAAGACGTATTTTTTAGTGTTTGCTCATCTGCAATATGTCTATAGGACGTTTCCTCTCACATGTCATATCGATGTTTAGAATATGTCTGTAAGATATTTATGATTTAAAATGTATGTAAAACTGACATGTTAGAGATGTCTATTAGATGTTTGTACACAGCAGCTTTCCAGATGAAGCGATCTTTAACAGACATCTTGCAGAATGTTTGCTATCTGGGAACATTGTCACACACCAACCCAGTATCACACCAAAGCGTGTAATAGACATGTTGGTCCACTCGAGGATGTGTGTCAGTGTAACGCTTTGCCTCCTCTAGGCATGAAAATGACACGCATGTATGAAGGTGGAGTTTCCACTAGAGTTTCAGCAGGGGCGATCATTTCCCCAATGCCAGCAACTCCACACGGACCAAAGACAAGTGATATTAGAGTGCATTAAAAGATGGATTTTAGGTGACTTAAAGACGCATTGGGTTTCCACCCGTCTCATAAAATAGTCGATCGTTCCGTATATATGAATGAAATTATGTAATTTGAAATTTGCCTATGGTGGGAAAGGGATCGTGTAAAAAGTCCACACATTTACCATATTGTTTACCATAGTAAGTTGCTCGACCACGTCATGTGTGGTCAATGCACAGTAACCACAACATATACCATGCTTCTTCCACCGTAACTGTAGTTTTACCTTGGTATTTTTTAAGTTAACATATGGTTTTACCATAGTAACTGTGTTTACGGTCTACTCTTTGTATTTAAAGCACAGTAACACAGCACTTACCATGGTTTTACCACAGTGACTGAACTTTTAATGTGGTATTTGTAGTTAAAGCACAATAACCACAACTTACTATGGATTTACCTCACTGTAGTTTTACTGTGGTATTTGTGGTTAAAGCACAATGACAACAACACTTACCATGCTTTTACCACAGTAGCTGTGTTTTTACTGTATACTATTTGTAAAGCGCAGTAACCACAATGCTTGCCATGCCTTTAAAACCTTTTTGTGAAGTAATTGTAATTCAATATTTTTCTTGCAGTTATGTCAGATCACATACTCCAACAACAAACTGTAATCCAACAGCTCTTTTAAGAAGCCATCTCTCTCTCTCTCTCAACTTTTCCTTTCCTATTTTTCCGAGCTGTAATCCATAATTAATGTACACATCCTCTCTCTCTCCTTCTGTGGTTCATCATGGCATATTTTTAAACCTCAGAATAACATTTTGACCAAATCTGTCAGAAAGCTGCTAGAATTAACAGAGAACTTGAACTCGAAGCTCCTGTTGCTGATCTTGAAGAAGTTGCCAGAGAGTCCTTCAATGGTTCAATCTTTCACAGGTATAACTGATTTGCTTTAATGAACGCATCCTTATTTTACGAGTTAATAATTACTTTCCTTATAGTCCTTCCTCTTAAAATATTTTGGTCACAGATAATTTTTAACACACTGCCTCAACATGGATATGTTTCTCTTTGTTTCACCTGAAACGGAAGGACAAAGGAAGGCCTGTCATGAGATTTGAATTTGGCCATCTTGTGCATTTACAGAGAAGACCAAAAGCTGCAAAGGCAAACATTTCTAGTGGTACATCTGTGTTGACTGAACTTTACTGCAGTTACATTTTGCACAGCATTTGATGTTTCTTAAACTTTGGTTTACATATCCCACGGCCCCATCAGGCAGAACCCTCAAGAAAGTGTCATGTCGAAGTAGTAATAATTCATACAATTTACCAAGTCAGCAAATTCATATGATATTATACGAGTGAATTCGTACAAAGTTCTATGACTTTTACTCCGACTGCTGTCATTGGCCATTGCCTCAACTCTTGTGCAGATTGTGCCCATTGTAATTAGTCAGAGTGTTTATATCATAAAGTTTATATTAAGTCCATTGTATTCTTTATTGACCTTTATAAATTGGCGCCGTCTCTTCCCCGTTCAATCAGTGAATGATATCTATCCACCCCTCAGAGTCTGCCTTTCTTTCCGTGTTGATTTTTATTGAACACATCTGTCTAAGAAGCAAGAGTCTGGAAATGCGTGACACATCAGATCACTTAAAGCTGTGCACAACAAGAACAATAACTATAATTATGAGAATTATTTTAGCATCCAGACCAACAGATGATACCGTTCTGTTTATAAGCGCTCTGCGGTTATGATGTCTGCCATTTATATGCTCAAGCTCTTTAAAGTCTGGTGGATTCTGATTGGCTGTCAATATTTTTATAGTTCATCAGCTGGAACAATTTGTTCTGAAAGAGATTGCAACGATATTGTTCCTATGTGTCATTAAATGTTAAATAGATGTGGTGTAGACTCATCCTTGGTGTGAAGAGGCCATTAAATTGCTTTCAATAAAAATTGCAGCATGTAATCGTATTTAAAATAATTAATATTAATATAGCTTGCTATTGAAAATACAGCTTTTTCTAAGGCTGCTTTCCTCTCATTCCGTTAAACTTACACACAAAATTATGCCTTTCTCTGCCCATTTCTCTTCATCTTATTCCTTTACTACCTCACTCACTCACATATTCTTTTGTGTTCTGTTGTAAGGTAGAAAAAGAGTTTGCATGATGGCCTTTTCTCAGACTCTGAATCTGATGTATACAGATGAACTCAGGAGCCTGCTGGAGTTGCCAGGGAACTTGAACTTGAAGTATATAATTAAAGCTGTCTTAATTTAAATATTTAAACAACAATAATAATTAAACATGGGGTAAACAATAGATATTTTCTTGTTTTAAAGCTGAAGACCAAAAACACAAAGAAAATCAGTCACAGCAAGCCAGTCAAACCAGTCCTGTTGAGGATGAGGAATGAATGTGGCCTTCTTGTGCCCAAACAGAAAAGACAGAGAGCTGAAAAGTTGCACATTTCCATTGGTGTGTCTCTATTCAAGCAATGCAGTTATATGTGGTACAGCATTTGATATTGATCTCTCAAAGGACTCTTCAAGTCAGCAGTTATCATTTTTTCACATATACATATTTTTATAGCAACTAGAATCAGCAAATCAGCTGTGCCATCATCTTTGGAATTTGGGCAGGAAATGACTGAATATGGTGAGTACTGACACCAGTTGAATTCATTCAATCATTTTCACATGCACATCTTTTTATAGCTCCTAGAATGAGCAAATCAGCTGTGTATCATCTCTGGGATTTGGGCAGGAAATGACCGAATATGGTGAGTACTGACACCTGCACCTGTATTCACTAACACCATTTCTCTGGAGTTATTGTTGACTTATTGTTTTGTCTGTTTGTTTGAAGGAGGATGAAGCCAGTTGATGAAGAAATCAGTTCAATGGACTCTAGCCTGAACCCATCAGTTATCTGCTGTGAAGATTGCATTCACGAACAGCTCTATTGTGACAGCGCAGATGTTACGGCCCGTAAAAGTAAACTTCACAAATGAACAACTGCAAGATAGTCGTGGAGGGATTATTTTGGCCCATACCTCCAACGACCCCCAACGGGAATCAATGTACGGGTTTTCTTTAAATGTTCACCGGTTCCCGCCTCCTTCTTCCCGTGACTACGAACTTTGTTACATTGGTGCTGGAACCCGGGAGGAAGGAGGGACACGCTGCAAGAGATCCCTCGCCGCTGTGGTGAATCAGCGGTGCCATCGAGCATGGTGGAGCAGTCTGCAACCATGGACGCTCGAGGCGGTGGGCTGGAGTGAGTTGCCGGGGGGGGGGGGCGGACAAACGCC